AAGGAGCAAAAGGCCATTCTGAAGTATCACTTGTTCAAAGATCTCACAATAGGAATAAAAACCAGGGATTACTGGTAAAGGAAAACCTTTTGATACTCACTTTACCCCACCAGGTGCAGTTTCGCATCTTGTTTATTAGTCTACCTCGACCTTCGGCCCAATTAGCCTGATTTGTTTTCCTTGACAAAACAAAAAAAACAAAAGATACCTTTGTTTATGTGTGATATTTTTTTGTGAATTCTTTCTGTTTTGTTCGTGAATATACAATTTCCTGGTCCTGTATCACCCTTGAAGTGTGAGCAATTAACGATAAGAAACAATCTGACCTTCTCCGCTTACCTGTAGGAAGGTTTACTTAAAATTAGGAAATTTGGAATAACATTGAACACGATACTGTCAATTTATGGTGGTAAACTGGTTAAAGCGTGTCGAGATGAGTGGGAATTGAAAGGAGGAAAAGGAAGGAAGGCATAAAAGAAAGGGAAGTGGGATAGAGTTGGGTAGGCTGTATGCCTCTTGACACATACTTGTGCGCGTTCAAGCAGAAACGAATGTTACCTACCTTGAAATTCTTGGCAGAACTTGCGTTTCTTTTTTAGGATCTCTAAAATAACCTTTTTAGTTTCCTTTTCTTGTTGATTCCTTCTCCAGCGTGAGATATTTGTGAGTTTCTCCTATCTTGAAGACGGCGGCAGCTATTTCCAGTAGTCGAACTTTTGCTTCCCAACTGTGTATTCTACCCTTGCAGGTGATTGTTTGGGGCCAGGAAGAGGCGTTGAACATCGTTGTTGGAGAGGTATGAAGAGAATGCAGATGAGGAGCTAGTACCCCCCTTCCACTCTCAGGTGTTGCATGAGATCTTGCCTTGCGCATTTCTGCAGTAAAATATGACGAGACCAAACTGATGAATTTGCCAGTCCTGGAAATGCTGGCTCCTTCTCAAGAGGCAGATTTGTTCCCCATTGTTCAAATTATGTCAAGATGAGAGTAGTTACCATCTGATCCATATGGAGGTGTAGTACAAGTGCGCTGATAACCACTGCACGGTTGAGGTCACCCAGGCACTCTAGGTATCCGTGACTGTAAACGTAGAAGTGTGATTGGACTCATGCACTGACAGTCTTCTCACTAAAGCTTGTTAGGCAAGCATGCGGGGACTTTGGATTTCCGACAATTTGTGCATATAAAAATTGACAAAACGCAGGTCTTCCTTAATGTCCATTCACAGCATTCGGTCTCGGTTGCAAAGATCTCTTACTTGAATTCATTAACCGCAGGATAAATTGGCAGTTCACATCTCGTGCAGGTATAGCATTTCGGCTAATCGGTGAATGAAGATGAGAGTAGATATGTTATCGCCACGCAAATCTTGCAATTATTGGGCAATTAAGGCTTGCT